CAGGTGATTCTTCATTCATATATTTGAATACAGGAAGTCGGTCTTCATTCATATCTGAATACAGGAAGTCAAAATCCCCCGTAGAATATCCCCGTCAAGAATATTGAATATGTATTTTGAAATTTTACGGCCATTCCTAGCAGAAAAAGGGTCATTTTCTTATCTTGCCATATGTACTTGGAAAGTAACAAAAAGATCTTATAATTCTTGATGATCTTGGTGCTTTGTTAACGTTGATATTTGAAAGTCACAAAAAAATCTTTTAATTAACGGTGAGGAAATGTCTTCTTTTTTTTTCTTTTTTTTTTTCCGGGAAGAAACAATTTAATTGATGGTGGGAGAAGAAATATCGATCTTCAGTCCCCACCTCCCCCCTCTCTGTTTTCGAGATGGGCTTTTTTTGAAAAATGTTTATGATTCTAAAACGACCCCTTGCCCTTCATTTGCAGGAGGCATCGTTATTGAACATAACAAATCAAGCTTGTGGACTTTTCAGCCCTTCCGAGGTACTTGGATTATCAGTCTTACCTCAGATTATTACTTACTGGCATGCTAGTGTTAGGATTTGGTTTCAAATGTATTTAAAAAATGCTTATACTTCGTGGAGCAAATATACCTTAATTAAGGTTTATTAGAAGGAACAGAAAATGTTGCTATGTATTTAGTATAGTTGCCTTCTTACAAATCTGAAAGAGTAAAGATGGGAAATCAAGCTACAATTAGTTGGAGAGATACAATTTTTAAAAAATGCTGAAGGTTGAGACAAAAAAGATGGACACTGATTTGCTATGTGTGTGTATATATCTATCTATCTATATATATATATATATATATATATATATATATATATNTTTTTTTTTTTTTTTTTTTTTTTTTTCCTTTTAACGTAGCTCAGTTCCTGTAAAACCTACATCCATGGGCCACCGAGAAATGAAAATTCACTCAATTACACAAAACGTAGTTAAATGTTTGATTTAGGTTTACAAATAAAATAACTCCTTTCTGTTTCAGCCGTAATTAACTCCTTTCTGTTTCAGCCGTAATTTTTCTTTCTTTTGGTTGATTGCTTCCATGAACAATCTCTCCTTGTGCGTCCATCTACTGAATCCAGAATTCCTTTGGACTGTGTAATCTTCTCCCAAGAATACATTTAAATAAATCCCAACATTAGAGAGAAGCTAAAAAAAAGCTTAGGTAGCTTGAAAGTATAGGATCTGATACAAATGTCGAAGAGCATGATGGGTTCAGTTTGACAAGCAGGAAAAGAATCGTGGTTGTAATGGCACACTGCAATAGTTATTGTTTGCAAGATTTATGCTCCAGTCGACTTGGAATGTGAAAACTTGCCGAAGTGAAGTTTTTCTTACGAGGTTTTCAGAATAAAAGTCCAACTCAAGAGTCAAATCGATCAAATTAGGAAAGCTGTACACAATTAAGAAAAGTAAAAATCTTACAATTTTGACTTTAATTCAAAATTTGAAAGATAAGACCAAAATCTTGCCTAAACAAAATTGTTTATAGAATCAATTTGACCTCATTTGAGTTTGAAAATAGCCTACCATGCAAGGAATTGAAAGAAAGAATTAAGTATTGATATAAAATTCAAAATAAACCATTAAAGCAAAGTCAATGTACCTTTTCATTTAAAGACAATATAATTAATTAACTTAATTGAAGGAAATGAATAAATAAATCTTTTAAACAAAAAGCACCTACATATTGTCTTTCTAACAGTTAAGTAGGTGATACCAGGAGAGTGGTGTCCTTCTTGAATGGCAGTGAATCCATATATGAGGCTAGCTTGTACGAGGGGATTTTTTCTATCGATATGATCAGATTTTACAGTTCTTTCTAATCCGCTTGTATAGAATTTTTTGTTGAATGATTTTGGTCTAGCTGTGCTTGCTGCAGTCATGTTTGGTAGTTCTGCATTTGTTGGTTCTCAGATTTGCAATCTTTGTCCTATGTGCTTAGGTTGTTTTGTTGGAGTGGACGGATGATGTGGAGTTGTTTATATTGAAGGGTTATGGTAATTCATTAAACTATAAAATGGGAATTCCTTTGTTGGAAGATGTTATTCAATCCATGAAGCAAGCCATCAAGGCCAAAGAAGGTATATATATATACACACATCTGCTGTTTATATTTTCTTGTTTACTCTCCGAATAGCTCATACCTTTGTACTTACTTTTGCCTTTAGCAGAAGTTTTTTGTGTCGAATCACTGAGTTTCCTTAAGACATCTTTGGGGGAGGTGTTGTCTGAGGGTTAGGCTTGATGCCTCATTTTGGGTAGTTTGGGTGGTGGTTTCTAAGGACTTTTGTAATCAGACCTTTTTTATATAGCTAGTGTTTGCCTTTTTCGGTAGGCAGTTTTTTGTATGGCCTTTTGTATTTCTTCATTTTATCTCAATAAAAGTTTCGTTTTTCACCCCCCAACAAAAGAATATCATTCATTTTATTCCTATTTCTTTTCCCAATGGAATTTTTGAATGGTCAAAGCTGGAAGTTATTTAGTAGAGTTTCTTATCCGTCTAACTGTGTTTTTCGCATTCTGTTCTTGGTAGAAAAGCTAGTTCTTGGCAGCTATGAGAAGGCAAGACTTCGTTTTGCTCATGCTGAAACTGTAGTTCCATTCACATGTTTGCTCGGGCTTTTCCTTGAAGGACCTGGTAAGTGCGTTTAATAATCTTCGAGTTTTCCCCCTTATTTTTTGTATTATCAAACCACTCGTAAACTTATGCAGCTCCTTTCTTATCTTTGGATTTTTGGTATCTGAATATCACAGATGTTGGACAAACACTAAGGGAGCAGCCTTTGCAACTTCCTCCACAGCCTCCAGCTACTAGAATATGGAAGGGAAGCACCGTTGCACCTTTTGCTGGGAATAACATGCTGGTTCTCTATAGCTGCCCTGCTAACTTGTCAGATAAGTACTTTGTGCGAGTTTTGCATAATGAAGAACCCATAACAATGCCGGTTAGCACCCTTTCCTATTCTTTTATTTTTTTTAGCTCACGTTTGAACTTTCATAAAACTTCATGTTATATATTATTACTGAATGAACTACATTCATCATCATTCGATTCTCAATCATGAATGGTGGATTTTCATCATCTCAAATTGTAACTCAACCCCATCAAATTGTAACAGCTTAACCCCACTGCTAACAGATATTGTTTTCTTTGGACTTTCCCTTTCGGGAAGTTTTTAAAAGGCCTCTCCCAGAGAGAGGTCTCACGCTCTTATAAAGAGTGTTTCGTTCTTCTCCCCAACCAATATGGGATCTCACACAAAGTTTTTCATTGTTCACTTTTCTTGCTGACCTTTTAGCTTCTTCACATTACAGTCCTTACGAATCTTTTTTATTTGGATGAATAGGGTTGTGACAATTCGGATTTTTGTTCCTTCAAAGTGTTCATGGTACAATTTCCACCTCCCTTTTGAAATACGCAAGTATTTTATTACCACCGAATGATATTATTAAAGCTGTCATCTCTTTGCAGGAAAACATTGTGGCTCCTCATCTTGAACATGATTTTGACACATTGTGCACTGTGGATGGGGAAGAACCTGTGCTGGAGCCCGAATCAAGTAAGTTATCACTGTTCCATTGGCTCTTCTGGTTGCGCAATGACAATAAATGACCTCTAAAAGTTGAATTGTAACAAATGTTGCTTACTAACTGTACAACACCTTTGTCCTTGACATTGTTTTCCGCGGACGCAGACGCTAGACTCAGATCTGAGTTGTAGGGAAGAGTTAACTCACTTTATGTGCTAATTTCGGGTCTCGTTGAGCTTGAGCTTCCATCTGTTTCACATGGCTTTGATTCAAAGATTTAGACTGATGCCATTTTGTATTTGCTTGCTGTTTTGTTATACCGCCAAAGGCAAGTGCTTCAATTTTTTTACTACAAAATTATACAAACTTTAGGTTTTACTTCTTTACGATATTCATTCTTATATGTATATATGAGGAAAAGGATTGAGCTTGTTCATCCTTTTACTATTCTTGTCCAACCCCTTTATAATATCTATGTTTGTGGTTACCAGAAAATATTTTGTTAAGCAAGGCAAAATTGAAACTTCACAGATCGTCAAGATGAAACTAAAGTAATCACGGGCCATCGTTACTAAATTAGTGATTTATCCTATTAAAAGTATGATTAATTGTATTGTAATTTAATTTAAAGTCAGTTGTTAAAGGATTTAATGACATTTTTTGAATGAAAAGATCTACCACCTATAAAACTTTTCCAAAGTTATTTTCTTCGTAAATAGTAAATAGTAATGAAACCAAATAATTAAAGGGGCAATATATCTAAAGAGGGTGTTCTTTCAATCCAGCCATCCATGTGAAATGTTGGTCTTCTTTACATCACATTTCAAGTCGTAGTAAGAGAGTCAATGTTCTTTGGACTAAAAATGAAATCACAAACAAGATCTCTCCTTTGGTATACTCGAATATCATTCACAAATATTTGAACTAATTGCTGAAATGATATGATATGAGCCTCTTCTTTGGTATGCTCGGATATCATTGACTAAAATTTGAACTAATTAGTGATATGGTATGAGCATTCGAGTAATATTTAAAATATTCTCTTGTAGAAACTAAATTTATAATTTAATAAATTAAATTTAAGACGTAATTTAAAAATATATTTTATTAGCTTAGTGATTATTTTTTAAATATATGTTTTGGTCTTTTAGTGCTTAGATGCGACCACTGAAAATGATACGTCAGAATTTACAAATCAAATATAATGGCATCTAACAGGAAAAAACATAGACAATTTTATTAATTTCTTGAAATAAATATATTATATATATATATATATATATATTATTTTCAAAACATCCCGTCGATATGTCCGAGTGGTTAAGGAGACAGACTCGAAATCTGTTGGGCTTTGCCTGCGCAGGTTCGAATCCTGCTGTCGACGCTTTTTGTAATTTCCGTTACTATGCCCCCCCCC